CAGATATGACTGTATTTGTAACAAACACAGTGTGATAACTTGTCAAAACAAATGCACTTTTAATATTTTTTAAAATCATTTATTTACCTTTTCTTTCTTTTTTCTTTTCTTCTTTTTTAAATATGGACCAGTGTTCTGTGTCTTCGATAAAGTTTTAATTGATTTAAACAGGATTTATGTGAAATTATATTTGTTGGTGAGGTGTTTACTTAGTAAATACTGTATGTGAACAAAACATATGTGGAACTTATATTTATACGTCCTGTCCTCCATGTCGACCAGTATTTGGTGCTGCACCTGCTGCTAATGTCTGTACTGGATGCTGACTCACTGTGGAGGGCTTAATAAGCCACTCGCCCTCATACCTAATTGGTTTCAGATGGGACATACGGTAATATGGCCAACCCTCTGCAGGAACGCACAAACGGAGTGAGGAGTGAGTAGGGCGAGTGTGTGTCTGTGATAGTGAGCGCTTAACCTCTGCATAGATAATCCATCCCACCTCACAACTGTGCCATATCAAGATGCTAATTAGACAGCACAATTATTGCACAGGTGTGCCTTAAGATGCCCACAATAAAAAGACCTGCCTCGCTTTACTGCTAATGTGGCATAAGCCCAGAATGTGCAAATATCTACAAGGGAAAAAAAGAAAAGACAAAGGAGGGAAAACGTGACACAGATAGAGGTGCAGTAAAAGAAAAAAGTCAAGAAATAGTTTCTGTGTTGCAGAAACAGAATAACTTCAGCTGATCACACTTTGCTGATCAATAAACAGCTTTTGTACATTTTAACATCAGTCTGAGCTGTGATGGAAAAAAATACCATCCAATAATAGCATGATACAGATAACTGTAAAAAATACAGTGATATCAAGTTTTGGTCATACTGCCCAGCACTACTTTGTGGAGACTCCCTCACAAAAGATCTTCAATGAGCACAGCCCAGATACTGGTTTGAGTAACACCCAGGTGCTTCAGCTGACAGCCTGAAAGATACACTCCTGCACCAAAGCTGCAAATGGAAGGTCTAGGTTCTTCCTGGATATTTATTCAGTCTTTTCCCAATCTYTGCCAAACTTTAGATCTAACATCCTTCATAAAACAATTCTATTTCCTGTGTACTGTGTTTAATGCAGGGTGTAGGGAACAGAGAAAATGACATCATTTTAAATTGGTCTGTGCAGAACTATCTTATCTTTATCATGTTACGCACTGGTGCTGAAATGTGCTGTACACATAAACTTGCCTTTCCTTTCCTTGCACAGTTACCAAAGCATCAGTCCTGATTAAACCTTATAACTCGTGACTTGAGGTTATTAAAGCCTTACGTTGAATACTGAAGCATAACTTCTTCTTCTGGTAAGTTATGTAGCTGCTGATGGCACTAACCAGTGCCAAGCCAACTGCACTAATTATTCCTGCAATGGTGAGCACCTCTGTAGGGGTACCTGGAAACACAAAACAGATTTATAAACAAATAAAACTACACACACCGGCCACTTTATTAGGTACACCTGTCCAACTGCTCGTTAACACTTAATTTCTAATCAGCCAATCACATGGCGGCAACTCAGTGC